GAGTCTCCGTCTGTAAAGCGGGGTAGCTCTAGCTGACCCAGCCCGTCTTGGGGTCCTTAGGGTAGGCGGGTGAGATGAGGGGCCCTGGGGGCTCTGGCTGGCGGAGGCAGCAAAGCCTTCCGAGCGGAGTGACCCCCCCGCTCCACCCGAACCCACCCTCACTCTCCTGCCCAGACATCGCCTGCAGGGAGCCCTCCGCCACGGCCAGGGGTAAGTTCTGAGCCCTCGGCCCTCATCCCTCAAAGCCCCAGCCCACACGCTTGCCCAGCACAGCCCCAGCTCCAGGCCACCGCCAGACCCCTCACTGCTCCAGCCGGGCTCCCCACCCCGGCAGGGCCATGGGTCCCTGACAGTCACGGGTCGGCGGCAGCACCCCTGGGGTACCATCTGCCCCTCTCACTCCTTCCCCAGGGAGGGTGCGAGGGCAGGGCCTACGGGAGGCCCTGTTGCAAGGAGATCGCAGGCCCAGATAGGGAGGGGGAGACCCTCGCCTCAGGGGCCCACCCGACGGGCAGCACCGAGGTGCCGGCCTCCGGGTGAGCCGTGCCCACCCACTGCAGCCTCCCCACCAGCCCTGCGGGGAGGCGGGCGCCCAAGGGTCCTTACTGGGGCCGGGGCTCAGGCCCGTGGGCCGGGCTCACCAGTCCCCCTCGGCCCCAGCGCCCAGCCGGCGCAGGCCCCGCGACGGCGCCCTGATCCTGCGGCTGACGGCGTGCGTCCTGCTGGTGCTGGCGCTGGGGCTGTGCTGCAGCCGGGCCGAGCCCGTGGCACTGGCCCTGGAGGACCTCCGGGCTCGGCTCCTGGCCCTCCGCGTGCGTCTGCAGCTCGTGGCCCTGGCCTGCTGGCGCCACATCCTGCAGCTCTGATGGCCGGCGCTCACCTCCCCCGGGCCCGGGGGCAGCACTGCAGAGGGAGAGCCCCAGGTCGGGGCTGGGGGCTTCCAGACAGCCCTGAGCCCTGGACTCAGCAGGCCTGCTGCAGGCAGGGTGACTGGGAAAGGGCGCCCACGGCTTGAGATCAGACGTGGAGTGCTGCGGCCTCGGATACGGCAGGCAGCCCCCCAGCTCCAAGCAGGCAGTCCCTCCTATTTCACATGTTGGGGTGCCCTGTGAGGTTTTAGGAGAACAAGAATTCCACCACTGAAACTCAGGGACCCACAGGTTCCAGCTCCCAGGCTACCCCTTGGGCCCCTCCCTCGCCCCAGCGGGAACTCTTGGTGACTTTGGGCCCGGCCCGGATATGGCCGTGTGTAGCCCCTTGAGGACGGGGACACCCACCCTATGTCTGTGGGAGTCCTAGGAGGAGGTGAAACCTGGATTTTGCTGCTTGGGGCCTGCAGCCCAGACCCCAAAACCCCTCTGGGAGAGGCTCTGACTGCGGGGCGGGGGGTACTCCCTCCTGCAGTCACGTGCAGGGCGTGGCCCTGGAGCCCCCAGCTTGTCTGATGCCTGCACTGGGCCCAAGGCCTGGGGATGCCCTCTTGCCTAGCCGTCGGCCTGGGGGTGTGGCAGGCGCAGAGAGGACATCGGGGGGCCGAGAGGACCCCACCACCCTCAGGACACAGCCGTCTGCACCTGGGTCCCAGCCGGCGCCGCACGGCCTGGGAGTCCCATGACTGTGTAGACGCCGAGGCTTCGACCCCGTTGCCAGGCCAAGGAGGCCACGTGATGACAGACCCCCGGGTCCCCTCAGACGCTGCATGGAGCGGGGCCCTGAACAAAGCAGGGAGGCCCGGGGTCAGACACCAGGAGGCACTGCTAGGGGAGAAGCTGCAGCCCCATAACCTTCAGACGAGTGTCTACGCAGCCGCGGTGCCGTGCTGCTCCGCCCGCGGGCCTTCTCTAAGCGGCTGTTCCCACGGCCTACGTGGGGAGACACTGATTCTCTATTAAAACACATTGCCACCTCTTTCAGTCTGGGGACTTTTACCCAAAGGAGGGAAATGGGGACTGATTTGCGGTGGGAGTCACTCCAGCAGCTGAAGCAGAGGTGGGCAAGCCATCCCCTCTGGCCTCAGGGACCGGGGCGGTAGCCTCCAGGGTCCCTTCGGGCTTCAGGACTTGGGGAGCCCCGAGTGGGGAGCCCAGCCGAGAGGGCCCCATCGCCAGGAGCGGTGGCCTAGGGGGGACCACGGCGGGGCTCCGGGCCCTGGCCCTCTGGGACCCTCCAGCGTCACACACACCCCAGCCCACCCCACCCCCAGCCTCATCTCACCCTGCCCCCTGAAGAGGATAAGCAGGTTAAGCCAAGTGCCACAGCCCTGGGGCAGGTACTGGGGGGCGGGGGGGGGGGCGGGG